AGCCCATCATTGCAGCCACTCTGTCAAGCTATCTCTTTGAAGTCCTTCTCCTTCTTCCTTGACCCTCCACTTTACCAAGCATGATATCCTTCTCCAGGGAATGGTTTCTTCTGACAACATGACCAAAGTAGGTGATGAAGTCTGGCCATTCTTGCTTCCAAAGAGCATTCTGGCTGCACTTCTTCCAGGACAGATTTGTTAGTCCTTTTTGCAGACCATGGTACTCTTAGCATTCTTGTCCAACACAAGTCAAAAGCATCAATTCTTTTTCAGTCTTCCTTATTCATTTTCCAGCTCTCACATGCATAAGAGGTGATTGAAAATACCATGGCTTGGGTTAGGCACACCTTAGTCTTCAAGGAGACATCTTTGCTCTTCGTCACTTAGAAAAGGTCTTTTGCAGCAGATTTGCCCAATGCAATATGTCATCTGATGTCTTGACTACTGCTTGCCTTGTTGTTGATTGTAGAACCAAGCGGCATGAAATCCTTGACAACTTCAATCTTTTCTCCATCCACCGTGAAGCTGTTTATTGAACCAGATGTGAGGATTTTTGTTTTCTTTATATTGAGGTGTAATCCATACTGCAAAGTGTAATCTTTAATCTTCATCAGTACGTGCTTCAAGTCATCCTCACTTTCAGCAAGCAAAGCTGTGTCATCTGCTATTGCAGGTTGTTAATGAGTCTTCCTCCAATCCTGATGCCATGTTCTTCTTCATGTAAACCAGCTTCTCAGATTATTTGCTCAGCCTACAAGTTGAGTAAGGATGGTGAAAGGATACAACCTTGATGCACTCCCTTCTTGATTTCGAACCATGCAGGACTCCTTGTTCTGTTTGAATGACAGCCTCCTGATCTATGTAAAGATTCCTCATGAGTACAATCAAGTATTCTGGAATTCCCATTCTTCTCAAAATTACCCATAATTTGTTATGATCCACACAATCAAATGCTTTTGCATAGTCAATAAAACAACAGCCCTATCAAATAGGCTCACATTATTATTCCCATTTTATAGATGGGAACGCTGAGGTCTAGAGTGGTTAAGAGACTTGTCTATAATTACTCAGATAATAAAACACAAGATTGGACTACAATCTTGATCCCTGCGTCTAATTTCAGCATTTTCTCTACTATCCTACATTGCCTTTTTCTAAGCTTCTACAGTCTACAGAGGTAGCTGTTCTCTTGCATTCAAAAATAGTCTCTTGCTTTGTTGCGGGGAAAGAACTTTGAGGAGCTAGCATGTTCTCCATTGCAAAGATGAGAAAAGTAAGACTCAAAGTTTGTTATTCAATTTTTATCTCATGTAATTCTCATAAAACCTCTGAGAATAGTTATGATCATTTCCACTTTTCATATGAGGAAACTGAGGCTTAAAAAATGACTTATCCAAAGATATTCACCTAGCAAGTGGCAGGGCCAGAATTCAAACCTGGCTCCATCTAACTCTAAACCAACTCAATGCTTAGAACTCCAATTATTTGTAAATGAAGAAAGACTTTTATACATGAATCTTTTCACATTCCATTTATTCCAAATATGATTATGTTAGGACTTAGATCGAACCCTCTAGGGGCTGAGAGAGAACTTAAGACTAAAGAAGTATTGTAAATGTAAAAGTCCTATGCTATGTCTGAAGACTTGTAAGAGATGCTCAGTTGAAAGAAGGTGGAAAAAGAGAATTAATGCTCTCAGCTGTCAGACCTGGAGATCTGCGGAAGGGATCTGTCTGAAACGGAAAGAGAAGCGCCGACATTCATAAGTAAGGAGTAAGAAACACACATCAGAGACAGGCCCACACAATTTTCTGAGTGCAAATGTCACCAAGAATGAAGTAAATAATCAGGGCCCTGAAGAAAGACAAAATCGTGTGTGTAACTCAAATTAAAGGTACATGATACTTTAACCAACCTGAATTAAAAAATAAAAATGTTTAATTTAGCTAGATTGGCTTGGTAAGTGGCTACTTCATCTCCTAAATGAAGAACATTCTTTTGGACTTTCTTCTTTGGTAAGGCTTTGCCTTTAGGGTACTCCAAATGGTTTTCCTACATCCTGAAAATTAAGCTTAAAAGTCTGAAAGGGATGCTCTGTATCTTCTACACTCGGACTCTGCACGTAAGTTATAAAAACTTATTTACAGATCGTTTTATCATGCACACAGTGTTTTCATATATATGTTATCTCATTTAATCCTCCTGAACGTCCTGCAAAAGAGAAGACACATAAAGACAGATGGTCACCTTTTTGTGTTTCAGAGAAGTAAGGGCAGATACTCCCCACATGGAACAGCCAACAGATAAGGATTTTCACAGAACGTTTCCTTTAACTGTCACAAGTGCCCTGTGACTGGAAAACACTACTTTCACTTGTTGTTATTTGCTGTCGAGTCAGACCTGACTCACAGTAAATTAAAGCAGAAAGATATCAGGTGGTTTGCCCAAAGCCACAATCTCAGCAGAGCAAGAATTTTGACTGGAGTCACAGAGCTATTGAGTGGTGGAACTAAAACCAGAACCCCTCTTTTCTGAATCACAATCTTTGCTCTACCATATTCCTCATCTTCTCCTAATCCAAGAGGACTGCCGAAGTAAAATCAGGTCTAAATGTACTTCAAGATCATCCTTGAAATGCAACAGAAGTTCCAAAAGGATGCCAAAGTTTCGACCCATATTTTGTCCTGAGATGATGAGAGTTACATTGATGGGTTAGTGTAAGAGTCTCAGAACCTTTCTCTCTTTCTCATCAGCTAGTTTAGTGGAAGCAAATCCTTGCTCCCTTGCCTTCTGCTGTCTGTCTACAAACAAAGGTAGGCCATGTGCTGGCCTCTGTTCACTATAACTTGATCGCTAATTCTAACATCAAGGGGTAGAACAAAGAACAGCAGACTTGGGTGGCTTTCTGAAATTTAGATTACAGTCTAGTACAACTTGAAGAAACACTAATTTCTTTCCCCTATCTTGTAGATAAGGAAGCCAAGGCCCAGAGAGAACGCAAGTTTGCCGGCTTTGGAGGCTGAGCAACTGGCCTGGGCAACTCTTGCTGAACCATTCCGAGGCTCAGTTTCCTTATTTGTTAAGTGGTGCTTAGTGTGCATTTTGCACAGTGGTGCTGTACAAGGATTACATTAGATAATGTTTTGGTCAGTGCCTTGCATGAGCAACCACCCAGTAGCTGGTGGTTGATATTATTGTTACCAAAGCTGGAATAAGAACTCTAGTGGTGTAGTGGTTAGAGCATTTGGCTGCTAGCCAAAAGGTCAGAGGTTGGAACCCACCAGCGGCTCCACGGGAGAAAGAGGAGGCAGTCCGCTTCTATAAAGATTTACAACTTTGGAAACCCTAAGTTCTACCCTGTCCTATAGGCCTATAGGGTCTCTATGAGTCCGAATCTACTGGGCAGCAGAGGGTTGGTTGTTTGGGTTTAGAGCTGGTATTGAAATCCCTACCTCCAGCCTCTTGCCCGCTCTCAGCCCCAGGGAGAGCAACTGGTTCCAGGAAGTTGCAGGAGTTTTGACAGGAGGTGGGTTGGTTGGAGTTTGAGGACACGCGCGCGGCTCTCTTCCTGGTCCCTCCCTAGCCTGGAGAAACGCCGCGGGGTGAAGGGAAACGAAAGGGTTAAGGCGATGAAATCCCAGAAAACCAGAAAAGCACCCCCACCCCCGCACCCGCACCCGACCGGCCCGGATAAGTAAGCCCCTCCTCTCTGCCACCCGGGCGGTCGCCTCGCGCTCTTTCCCTCCGCCCCTTTCGCTAGACCTAATGAGCTCCCCCGGGAGGCTGAGCAGCTAGCGAGCCCAGCCTGGAGCTAGGAGGCTGCGCAGCGCGCGCCGCGCCGGGGCCCGAGCCGGACCTGGGTCGCAGGGTGCGAGCGGGCAGGGTTCGCACCTGCCGTGACGGGCCGCCCCGGTGTGGCGGCGATGGCGGTGCAGGCAGCCCTCCTCAGCCCGCACCCGTTCGTCTCCTTCGGCTTCGCGGGCGCCCCGGACGGGCTGGGGGTCGCCTTCGGAGCGCTGGACAAGGGCTGCTGTTTCGAGGACGATGAGACCAGGGCGCCGGCGGGAGCGCTGTTGGCTGAAGCCGAGGGTGGGGACGTGCGCGAGGCCACCCGCGACCTGCTCAGCTTCATCGACTCGGCGTCCAGCAACATCAAGTTGGCACTTGACAAGCCCGGCAAGTCCAAGCGGAAAGTGAACCACCGCAAGTACCTGCAGAAGCAGATAAAGCGCTGCAGTGGCCTCATGGGCGCTGCGCCCCCGGGCCCGCCTTCCCCTGGCTCCGCAGACACGCCTGCCAAGCGGCAGCCTGTCGCCCCCAGCGCCCAGACCTTCGCGGTCCCGGCCCACTGCAAGGCTGCCCCCCGGCGGGAGGCGACACAGGCCGCGGCGGCTGCAAGCCTGCAGAGCCGGAGCCTGGCTGCGCTCTTCGACTCCCTGCATCACGTCCCAGCGGGCGACGAGCCTGCGGGGGGCGCCGTTGTGGCGCCCGCGGCGGGGGTCGGTGGAACCAGTGCTGGGGGCGCTGGAGGGGAGGCAGCCGGCCCCGTAGGGGGCGCGGTGGCCCCTGGCACCAGGAAGGTCCCGTTGCGAGCTCGCAACTTGCCCCCATCTTTCTTCACCGAGCCATCCCGGGCTGGCGGCGGTGTGTGCGGCCCGTCGGGGTCCGGCATGAGCCTGGGCGACCTGGATAAGGGCGCCGACGCCATGGAGTTCTTTGAGCTGCTGGGGCCGGACTATTGCCCTAGCACTGAGGCGGGCGTCTTACTCGCGGCAGAGCCACTAGATGGGTTCCCCGCTGGGGCCAGTGCCCTGCGGGGACCCCCGGAGCTGGAACCCGGCCTATTTGAGCCGCCGCCGGCGATGGTGGGGAGCCTGCTGTACCCCGAGCCCTGGAGCGCCCCGGGTCCACCAACCAAGAAGATGTCCCTGGCGGCTGCCCGTGGCGGTTTGACCTTGAACGAGCCCTTGCGCCCCCTGTACCCAGCCGCTGAGGACTCTCCTGGCGAGGACGACAGGCATGGCCATTTAGCTTCTTTCACCCCCTTCTTCCCAGACTGCGCCCTGCCCCAGCCGCCCCACCAGGTGTCCTACGATTACAGCGCGGGTTACAGCCGCCCAGCTTACTCTTCTAGCCTTTGGAGACCGGACGGGGTTTGGGAAGAAGTGCCAGGGGAGGAGAGGGCGCATCGGGACTGACTGTGAGGTAGCCACCACTCCCATTAGAGACTGCTGTGGGTTGCGCCTGCCTCTGGGTCTCTCCTAAGCCTAAAGAATGATTGGAAAATGCACGAGAGATGAAACAGGATTTTTAAAAATTCAATTAATAAAGGAAACCAGACAAAGAGATGAAGAGGAATTGGGGATTGTTTTAATCACAACCCCAAGAAGTTTTTTTAAAAATTAAAAAGCCATTGGTAGGTTCTTACTGGACCAGACAAATCAAGAAACCAAGACGGGGTTTGGGGAATCTGGTAGGAATGGTGGAAGGGGCAAGAGATGGCTTCTGTAGCCACCTAACCCTTCTCCAGCTTTTCAGCAAAAGGTCAGTCGAGTGCGGTGTTGTCTAGTGTAATTGTCCCTTCCAGTTATCCTCTTCCCTTTGAATGCATTATGAATTAAAGCCTATCTTGAAAAGAATGAAGCAGAGATATGTTGTTATTGATTTGGGTGCTTTCTTAGAGGACAGTTTTCTGAGTGATCTCTTAGCCTTGCTAGGTAGAAGTGTTGAGGACATAAGGCCAGTGATCCATTGCTGACCTTCTGGTGCTGGTCTTTGGGTATGGTTATCTTCTCTGCCACTCTTCCTCTTAAATACTATCTTCTACCCCTTCCTTCTTCCATCTCCTTATCTTATCAGCACCAGTGCCTACTTTTATCTCACCTCGTATTGGTCATATATATCTTTTCTTTTTTTCTGTATGCTTTTCTCACCAATCTCTGATGTAGGAGGCTTAAATTCGGCCAACCTAAGGTCTGCTCTCTCCTTTCTTTTTCCCAATCTCTAATCACTTTGGGTAGATGGATGGGTGGGGGTTGGGCAAATCATAACCTCTCTGCATCTAAATTTTCTTATCCGAGAGGGTGAGAATGGCAATAATTGTCCACTTCTCACTTTTTCACAGCTTATTAGGAAGCACAGAAAAGAAATATACAAAATGCCTGAGCCCACTGCAGAGTTTGACATGGTTCTGTGGGTATGTGAAACTGCATGCACATACACATATGTGCGCCCACACACACATATACACACACATACATGTTTTGTTGTTCTGTGCCATTGAGTTGATTCCAATAGTGACCTTATAGGACAGAGTAGAACTGCCCCATAGGGTTTTCTAGGCAGTAATTTCTATGAGAGCTGATCACTAGGTCTTTTCTCCCACAGAGCTGTTGGTGGGTCCGAGCCACCAACCTTTCAGTTACTGGCTGTGTACTTAACCCTTGTGACAGGGATATACATATATGCATACATATGTATACAGATGTTTTCTATATGTGGAAGATATTAGGATTGTGGGTTCCCATCTGTTTGCTTGGCAACTCCCCCCTTCCCTTACAAGTTGTGCAGTCTGTTTACCCCATCCCCCCCTTGGATTCTGCCTCCCCATTCTTCCTCGCTCCCTATACCCACACTCTTCCATGGAGGGGAATGATAAAGATTGTGAAGTTTCCAAGGAGTCTCTCTATTCCCTGAACAGCAGATTTGATGAGTGGAATCTGAAGGGGCTCTGGAGGGTGGAGTCTGACCTGTTGTCTGAGGGAGATTTGGGGGGAAATGTCAGAGAAATGTATTAACTAGCCATCAATGTGGCAGAGAAGGGACACGGCACCATCAGGATAGTTGAAGGGGCCAAGAGGTAAAATTGAATGGGAAGTGAGCAGCTGGAGGGAAAGAGGAGCTTCGGTACTAGAGACTTGCTAGCTTACTGATTCTCTGATCCATCAATCAGTGAAAATACATGAAGGAACCAACACCAAGAAAATATAAGGTAGATGAAGACAATTAATTGATAACATTGCAAAGGAGACCTGCCTCTGTTCCAGGCAGTCACAATAGAGTATAAGAAAATCTAGATTTGTACTGGTTTGATAGAGACTGGTAAAACCCCCTAGAGTATGGCCTCTGGTCAGCTTTGGGCCTGGAGTATGAACTCATTCCTATGGCTTCTAGCCAAACAATAGTCAGGTCTATAAAGGTAAACAATTACACCAGCTTGGTATAGTCCTTAGAACAATCAACCATGGGAGATCGGAAGGGCATCATTTGCACAGGGAGAAATCTCAGAGGGCAGGAATGCATAGGAAGAAAGGACACAGGGAAAAGGTAACCACAAGGAGGAAGTGGGAAGAGAGCTATTATATTGTAGGGATTGTAATCATTGTCACGAAACAAAATGTGTATGAACTCTAGAGTGGAAAACAAATTTGCTCTGAAAACTTTCACACAAATCACAATTAAAAATAAATAAGATCCTGTATAGAATGGGAGAACAAAGTGGGACAAAACTCGAAATCATAAAAAAAGACTCGGTTTATTGGTCTGATAGAACCTGGTGACACCCCCTAGACTATGGCCCCTAGTTACCCTTCAGGTCTGGAACTGAACTCACTCCTGTGGCTCCCATTCAAACAATAGACAGGCATATGGGGTGAATGTTTACATTAGGTAGATACACTCCTTGGAACAATCAATCGTGGAAGAAAAGAAGGGCAGTGTCTGCCCAGGGGAACAGGTTGGGGAGGTGCGAGGGTGCATGAGAGAAAGGAAGATGGGGAAGAGGTAACTATGGGGAGGAAGTGAGAAGAGAGCTGTTACATAGTGGGGAATTACAGTCCATGTCATGAAAGAAAATGTGTATGAAATGCTGTATGGAAAATGAACTTGCTCTGTAACTTTCACCCAAATCACAATAAAAATTAAAATAAATAAATAAAGACAAGAACTTGATGTAAGGAGTAAGGAAAAAAATCTAGATTTGAGGAAGCCAAGCCTTGTTATTACTGTAATATATTTGAAAATGCAGGTCAATATTTATGCATGTCAAAAGTACCATGATGGCTTCAGAAAGGATTTGTGTGTGTGGAGAAATGGGTATCAAGAAATAGCATATACAATTTTAAATGCTAAATCACTCTTTTATGAATACAACCTTTCTTAAGAAAGTAGCACAGGAAATATAGCAGTGAGTCCTATTAATGATAAAAAGAACTTTGCACCTCCCAGAAACTTGGTGTGTATTGAATTTCTTTCAAAATGGTGAAGAGTGATTAATTCCATTGTGTTAAAAGAATATTATTTGTCAATTATTTAATTTATATACACTATTATGAGTCCAGTAAACGATAGAATTGCACATTAGGAGAACATTAATAACCCTATGACTGTTACTAGGAGCTCTGGCAGCATAGTGCCTAAGGCATTGACTGCTAACCAGAAGGCTGGCAGTTCAAACCCACCAGCCACTCAGAAGGAAGGTTGGGCAATCTACTTCCATAGTGATACTGCCTCAGTATCAAGGAGGGGTAGCTATGAGTTGGGTCTGACTCGACAACACATAACAACAACAGCAACAACATGACTATTACTAAGGTGATAGTGTTACTGTAATGCTTCTTTCTTATTTTTCCTTTTCCTTCTTGCCTAGTTTAGTAAAACAAGGTATCTCTTTCCCAGTATCTTGCTTGCCATGCCTTTCACTAATAATGATTATACCAACACTGAGTATTTCCATGTGCCTGGCACTGGGCTAAGAACCACTCACTGAGCCCCAACTTAATAGCACCACATGGTAGCAATTGTTATCTTCATGTGGAAACTGAGGCTCAGACAGGTTGAATAATTTTCTGAAAGCAAATAGTGGATCCATTATCCTTATCTCCAAGTGTCTTAACATTAAACCAAAAAACAAACTCACTGCTATCAAGTCAATTCTGACTCATAGCGACCTCCATTGGGTTTCTGAGGCTTTAAATCTTTATGGAAGTAGATTGCCCCATCTTCCTTCTGCAGAGTGGCTGGTGGATTTGAATTGGTGACCTTCTGGTTAGCAGCCAAAAGCCTTATCCACTGTGCTATTAAAACCTACTTTTTAAGCATTTGGTTCCCAGTCACTTGCTACTAACAAGGTTTCTTAACCTCAACATTACTGACATTTGGGGCTGGATAATTCTGCTGTAGGGGGCTTTTCTGTGCATTGTAGGATGTTTAGCACATTTTTTGCCTCTGCCTATTTGATACAAGAACATCCCTCCCACAATCCCCCTCCCCAGTTGTGACAATCAAAAACTGTCTGCAGAAATTGCTGCATGTCTTTTGATGAGCAAAATTGCCCTTGGTTGAGAACCACTGTACTATTATGCTGTGTCTGTGGGGTGCTTGACACTTTCATGTACATTATTTCATTTAATCCTTACAAGGGCCTACACTTTGGTATTTTTAGCATCCCCATTTTGTACGTGAAAATTTGGAAAGACTGCGTGTGGGGGGTTAAATCAATCACTTTAGGTACATCTCAACTTTGCTAATTTATCAGCCATGAAACCTTGGACCAGTTACTTAATCATATTAAGATATAGCCTTTCCCACTGGTGATGCTGGATAACAATCTATTGCAAAGGGTTATCATGGGGATTTGACATAGGGTGTGTATAAATGCCCACCAGGGGCTAGGGGCCCAGTGTGTTGTACCAAGGAGTTAAGACTTGCATTATGTCAAGCTTCCAAATGACCCTGTTATCCAGAATGCTAAGAATATGTGCTAGACCACTTGTAAGCTCCAGATTGCCCCATCTCTGATTCCTCGTCTCCCCACACTGCTTTCTAGTTGAGCGTACTTGTGTCTGCTCATGGTACCTACTGTAGTACAGTAAGCAGCATCCTGGGCTGCCTGACAAGGGCTGGACATATTGGTGCTCCCTCTCATATGCTATTTTCTGTTGTTACCTGTTAGAAAGTATTTTTATCTCTTGTTTAGCCATATAACTGCCCATAAGAAATTCTTTTTAAGTGCAATAGTAGATATTTTCCAAGACCAGAAATAACTTATAATCTGTTTATAATTTTATGATTTTGTCCAGCTGGGGATTTCTGGTGGTGCAGTAATTAAAGCATTTGGTTGTAAACCAAAAGGTTGGCTGTCCAAACCCACTAGCTGCTCCACAGGAGAAAGATGAAGTAGTCTGCTTTCATAAAGATT